TTCATCACAACGAACAAGAATATTATATTTATATTTTTATAGATCCTCATACAGACATTTCTTCTCTATACTTTTCCTCTTTTTAATATATTTTCGTATATTTTCTCGTTCGTGAAACATAGCCACAAACACTGCAGCAACGAATACACTGGCGGTACCTCTACATATCAGATCCGCGGCGTTTGTATGAGGATACTCTCAGCCTTGCCTTCGGCAATGCTGCGCTGCTGCTGCTGCTGCAGTTCATCAGACAGTCTATAGTTAAGGCTGTATATGCTGACGTCCAGCAGCAGCAGCAGCAGCAGCAGCAGCAAGAGCAGCAGCAAGAGCAGCAGCAGCATTCCAGTTGCGACCCACAGATTCTTTTTCGCAGCAAGAAGCAAAGTAGTTGCTGCAACTCCTGGCGAGCTTAGATAAACAAAAAGTTGAATCGCTGCGTAGCTGCAGGCTCAGTTGTTACTGCTTTCTCCTCATCACTATTTCTCGTGTTGCAGGGGGGCCAGAGCGTCGGCCTGCTTTCTGAATAAATTATCCTGGCTGGGTTTACTGCTAAGTTGTTTAGTTTTTTTTTCATGAGTTTGTAGTTTCGTGTTAGCTGTATATGTTGCAACATAGAATACCCACTCGGCAGAACTTTTCTGCTTTCGAGTACAGGTTGCATCTGTTCTCGTTTGTGGGTGCTTTCTAGCTAATCTAGCATTCACTAGCTAGTCTAGCATTCACTGCCTCAGTACGTATTCTCTGTGTATCTCTGTAGCTGGGGTATGTTCAGACTCTGTTTCGTGTTTCTCAGCTAGAGCGGAGAAAGTAAATTCCTGTTTGTTACTGCCGCATAAGAGCTTCATTACTTCGCCGTCCTTCACTCATTCTCTCTGTACTTCTCTATCCCGCGGAACAGCCAGTTTCTTACTGCTTGTCGCCACAGAATAAAGCTGCAATGGGTCAATTTCTAAGTATTTGTATACACACCTATGCTCTTTTTAGTTATATTAAATATACCATAGTATGTTCCCTTGTCTACTACCTAGATATGCAGATGCATCGCAGTTGATGCCGGATACCTCAAGTGTATATATGAACTGATAGGCAAACGGCTCAGAAATTCTTTATATTTTGTTTTTTAGGTTTATAATTTATTCAGATAGATTACCTGCGGTTACTGCATCTGTTGCAGTGCAACAAGGAGCCGAGCTGTTGGTCGCTTGCTTGTAAGTGCTAGAGAATCTGTATATATACGAAATATATCTATACACCAGCTGATCAGCTATATTGGTGTGCTCCTCTGTTTCAGGCTTCGCCAGTAATCTTTGTGGTGTTAT